TAATTATTTTTAATCAACTTCTTGACTTTTGCTTGGAAAATAATCTATTAAGCGCCTCAAAGCATGGATTTCTACCTGGAAAATCATGCGACACGTGCCACTTGGTTTTTCTTAACCTCGTTACTTCACTTCGTATTGAGAAGCAATCAATCATTGTGATTAACTTTGACCTTAGCAAAGCTTTTGACAAGGTGCCGCACAGGCATCCTGTAGTGAAGGTTGAAGCCCTAGGCATCAGGCCTCCTCTCCTCGATTTCATTGCTTCCTACCTGTCTAGCCGCAGCCAAAAGGTCTTAGTAGGCAATAGCTACTCGTTGCCTCAGCCGATCACGAGTGGCGCACAACCAGAAGGTCTTAGTAGGCAATAGCTACTCGATGGCTCAGCCGATCATGAGTGGCGTTTTTCAAGGCACAGTTTTCGGTCCCCTCCTTTTCATTCTTAACATAAGCACCCGTGATTAACTCTGTTTATTGTCCCATTCGTAATCCTCTACTTTGTATTTTCGTACAATTACTCCGTGTATCAAAACGTTCAAATATCCTCGAATCTCCTAAAGGGAAAGGTTATAGTATAATAGAGTAACAAGACTTCTTGGGAATCACGCATACCCGGACTTCTCAGTTATCTGTTACGTGAGCAATCTAGGCCGAACTTCAACCCGTACCGGGTGCTTTTGAATTAGTGTGTGTACAGTCTTGAGGTATCACGTGATGTCTCCTAGCGAATTGTCGAGGCAGTTACAGTAAGTCAGTCGTTTGGTTCCTTTATTTTGGTGTCAGCAAACCAAAAACACATCGTGGTCGCAAATCCCTCCAGGAACGAGAACCGCGTGTCTATGAAAATGACAAACAAACCTTGTTAATCAGAGGAGCCCACACCAGTCAGATTGTGCATGATTTCCTCACCGATCTAGTTAGTCCGTTTACAGTTTCTTTATTGTTCAGCTTCTTTTGAAGAAACCTTTGGTCGATAAGCTTAAATGGAAGAATTCGGTTTTACCGTTCGAAGATGCCTCGTTTATAGTGAGTTCGCTCAGTCACTCAAGTTATTTTGTAGGAACGCATGTGTGGAAAATTCGACTCCTCCCTATTTGTATTTGGTTCACATTCTAAGAAAAGGCCCAACAACATAGTTATCGGTCGCCTGCATGATCATGAGATCTTGGACATGTACGAACTTGGAATCGAGAACTATAAGTCAATACGGTCTTCGGTAATTTTTATGATGCTTGTTGAATTTTTCCAGGATGTAAAATTTTCACTTGGCGCTAAACCTTTGCTGGTGTTCTCAGGGGATGCTTTCGAAGAAACGGAAGAATCTCAGCGCCTCAAATCCTTACTTATCGGTTTGTCGTCTTTCTTAAATGCCAATTATCAGATCTCTTCCGAGGTCCCAATGTTTCTCGAGTCAACTCTTCAGGAATCGAACATGTTATGCATTTCATCATGCCTTCTGAGAATAAGCTTCTTCTTCAAGTTAGTGGTGTCAAGTTGCGTCCTATCTCCAAAGGCTCCGAGAAAGATGGGTCCTCCCCCCTCACCGAGACCCTTAGAGCCCCCTGGGGACCGTACGTACAGGTCGAACTACAGAATTCAGCTCCCGAAGTGGACTTCGTCCTACGTCGACGTCTAATGCCTTCGGAAGTAATTCATTTGTGTCACTCGCTAAGGATTTTCCTACCTGTTGTTTTCCGGTCTTTCTGAGACCAGAAAAATAATTGACGAATAGCTTGCAAGTCGATTTTTTATTGTTTAAATATCTTCCCTTCAATAGTCTGCACCTAGTCGTGTTCATATGCATTCATAACTTATTCATACCTTTGGATACTTACTAACAGCGAACCGTCTATTGTCCATTCCGCTGAACTAGCGTTAGTATTCATTGGATAATTGGGAAACGTCCACATGAAGCATGTAATGTTCCTGTATATTTTATTGCTGCCGAGATTTTTAAAGAATTCCAGCACTAAAATATTTAAGTTGGCACCTGTTTCAATATAAGGGTTTGACCCTTTCATTTTGGTTCACTTAAATCTGCTTTCCAGAAGAAAAAGAAGAAGCAATCACTGGAACAAGAGTTTTATTTTCCGGACGTTTCGGAAATCTGATTTTATACTTACTTACTTGCACTTGGTGTTAGTTCTACCATCGCAAGCGAAGATGTCCACCATTTGCCCAAGAGCAGGGACGGTGACT